TACGAGCAGTGTGACCTTGGCCAACTCCCTTACCAGGCAAACCCCCCTCCTTCTGACATATCTTTAAAACCTGGGGAAAGACTCCCAGCCGGCCCAAATCCCGGGACTGCTGGGGGGCCAGGGTCACAGCTTGAGGCCGTTTGGCGCGTTGGCCCTGTTACAGCCAGTTACAGCCCTGGCCTCCCCCAATCCCTCACGCGGAGGAGTCCCCAGCTCTTCCGCAGGCGAGGGATGTACCCCTTCCGGATGCGGGACGAGGCCGGACAGCAGTTTCGATTTCCTAAGAAGGGTTACTTCCCCTGCCGTCCTGGCACCGCCGGGTGTCAATGGAGCCTCCCCGGCCGCCCTCGGGATCCCTGTGGCTGCACCGAGTCCCCGCACGGGACCTCCCGACCCGGCTCCGCCACCAGCCCAGGTCCCAGGGGGTCGGGGACGCCAGAGGGGCGTTGCCATAGGAATAGCGCTCCAGACCCTCGACCGAGGCGCCCGGGAGGGGCTGCAGCAGAAGGCTCGCGAGACCCGCTGTGCCCAGGGGACCACGCCCGGCCGTTCCTTCTCAGGGTTACTTCGCCCAGCCAGCAGCGCCCCCACAGCTCCGAGCCTTCCCGCGCGGTTCGACCAAAACCTACCTTCCGCCATGTCGGACCCGTCCCTGCCTTCAGCCTCGCGAGAAGTGCGCCGCTCAGCGGGGGGTGCCGTATAACAAGAGCCCCCAAATCTCGCGAGAGTCATGGGAGACCTGGCAAAGGGAGGAGTTCAGACTAGGAAAGAGCAGTGAATGAAAGTGGAGGGAGAAGCTGGGTGGCCAGACGAGGAATGGAGAGCCTGTCTCTCTTCACCTAGTGCTTTCAAGGCTCGGGACTTACCAAGCACTGACTGGGAGCTGTCATATTCCATGCCCTAGGGAGGGCACCGAAAAGGCTGGACACAGAGTGCCAAGACTATTCCTTGGAAAAACTTGGCCGTGAGAGGGTCCAGAAATGGGTTTTGTTGGTCTTTAGGTTTGTTTGTAAAGATGTAAGAGAGAAAAGAGCCAAAGACTAACGAAGGTTCAGGGTCCCTGGGGAAATGGGATGCCCTGCAAGCGAATTTAAAAGGATTTCAGGAGAAAGGATTAACCTTAGACTGGAGGCAGGTCACTGGTTACTAAAATAATAGGGAACAAGAAAATGCATACAGGCAGATGTGAAGGGACAAAGAGATACCAGGGAGGTCACTTGAAGACGTCAGTTTTATGGCTGAAGTTCGTAGGCAAGAGGACAGGAATGGAGAAAACTCGGGAGAGGAATCTTAAATTGGAAGGCCTAGTTTCAAGTGTCTCCTATATATGTGGACATGTGGATAGTGTTCCCCCTACCTATCCACAACCCATCCCCGCATTTTTTTTCCAGCAGAAATCAGCTACCTGATCACAGCAGCAGAGAATATAGATTATAGCATTAGTTCAGGGATTAGTATTTATTGCCAAAACGTGACTGAGAGCAGTGTGAGAATAGAGTTCAGGTGCAGACTGGGTAGAGGCTTACAGGAGTCGAACCTGTAATACTGACAACCAGTGCAATATGAACAAAGTTGTGAGAGCCTGGTGGTAGGGGTGGCAAACTGAAGTTCTTAAATTATGATAGCAGTAGACAATGATAAAGTCCAGGACAAGGCCATGGAATATACATCTCAAGTAGCATGAGAAGCTAAAAAGATTAGATGCTGGAACTGGGAGGTAGGGAAGGAAGGAGACCATAAGCCAGGTGCTAAAATCTTAGGCAATATGGAGGTAATAGCAAAAAAAGAGGGCTAAAGAGTAACATAACTGAATGGTGTAAGGCCTTTCAAGAACAATTTTTAATAAAAGGAGAGTCAAAAGGATGCTGATTGTATTCACTCCTAGAAGCACTAACAGTTAAGGATTGCAGGGGAAGTGCTGGCCTTGGAGAAGGGCCAGAGTAAGAGCAGATAGGTTTAAGGATCTGTGAACAGGATGAGGATGTCAGACCCAAAAAATGGGGGTGGTGGTGGGGATTTAAAGTTGGAAGCGTTTAGGTGCTGCCAAGGTTAAGCATTAGTGGGTTGTGAGGTGGAGGGGAGAAGGACCTTGGAGTTTACATCATGGAACATAGGGTCATGGGATTCAAATTTTGAGAGAGGTAGGAATTCTGGCAGAGGGACACATGGGAGAGGGTATTGAAAACGTGTGAGAACAATAATATGCTCAGGGGGAATGATGTTCTGGTCATGGTGGGAGATGACAGAGGTGAAGGAGGTATCCGCAGGGAGGTGCTTAGTGCTTAGAGGAGCTACAGTGGGCAACAGCACTAGACTGAGGGCAGAGGAGTCCTTGACCAGGTTCAGTGAAGAAGCCATTAGCTCAGTGCTTCCGTCAATAATGGTTTATAGGTATGCCGAATGGCAAGCCCTTGGGCCATCAGGGTGGCCAGGTAAGCCAATCTCTTCTGGTCTGACCACAAGCAACCTTAAAAAAGTACCCTACAAACATTTTCTGGGACAGAACATAGAGATTACATTAAAATGGTTGGGAAATACTGTTAGAGCAGATGGCAGGCTTTGCATCGTATGACATCTTTGCCTCACCAGCACTGCCTACCCTCTGGCATACAGTAGGTGCTCAAAATGCTTGATTAGTTGGTACCACTGTGAGCTACACTGCAAGTCAGAACTGTGTTTAAGTTTGGCTTTACAACTGATTTGCCGTGTTGACTATTGGCAAGTTGCTGCAAGCTTTACACTGCCATCTCACACTCTCCATCTATTTCAAGAGACTTGGACTAGAACCCGTGGTTCTTAATGATCTCAGGGGTCATGACCTCCTTTGAGAAGTTGATAAAAACCAGGGACCCTCTCCCTTCCAGCAGCATACATGCAGAATAAAACACACGTGTCCCCTTTGTTTGCTTGGACTAGAAGCCCACAAACAAGAACTTACCTCTATGGATTTAATTAACTCAAGGACTTGACTAAATCCTCATTACAACCTACCTCCAAGAAGCTATCAGAAGTGAAAGTGCTTAGAAAATGCTTCAGTAACCCTATTTCTGGGCCCTTGTCAGAGTGGACTCCTACTGGCTTGCAACCCCTGAGGTACAGAAGACTGCTTAATAAAGACTGTGGAGCTACATTAAATATGAACTAAGATACTGACATTTTAAGAAATCTGAGCACTAGAATGTGGTTCATTTTAGACCTAATTCAGGTTTTGCTGTTAGATTATGAGGAACTTAGCATGGAGTTGCCTGGGACAGGGCACATTAAGTGCAGGGAGGACTGACGGCTGCCTTATGACAGGGGAACGAGACTCCTGAGGACGCAGTGCCACCTCAGTAGAGATGCAATGGAGGGAATCACTAGACTGGTAGTGCAGTGAACTGGGTTCAAGTACCAGCCTCAACACATCACTATGTGACCTTGGGAAAAATGGTCCTGAAGGGTTAATGACGCCCAGGACGGAGAAGGCTGCGAACTCAATGCTGGCTGCCAAACTTCCTCACTCTACAATCTTGACAGATGAATCTGTACCTGTTTTCCTCATGGGGAATTACTTGAAGGATCCTACTCTTAAAATAATTTCACTAAATCCTTTATGAAACACACCCACCACAAGCCTGCCACAAAGTAGAGGCTCAGTAAGTAGGAACTTGATTTCTGCTCGTTTGGAATGAATGAGATGCCACTGTGAACACCCAAGTGTGTTATTTATTCCTCATGGACCCTGTGCAAAGGTGGCTGACTTTGTGTAGCACCTCTGTGTGTCTAGCTGCCTTGTGTGAAACCCTTTTTCCTTCTACAGTTTATTCCACCTATGCAAACGAATAGGATTCAAAATTCTTTAATTAAATTTCACTGCAGTTCAGCGTGGCATGTTGACTCAAGCCAAAAAGTCTTATTGTACGTACCTTGGCATGCCATCAGGTTACACACATCTGAAAACTGACCAACCAAAAATAACCTTATCCTGGAAATAATTTGCTCTGCAAACTGAATCCTGTTGGGGTTTGCAGTCCTCCAGAAAATGAAACACTTTAATTTGATAAGATTACCAGCCCCATCTTTACGAGGGAGGGGGAAATCAACAGGCCCTTCCTCAAAGACTAGAGCCTTGCATACACTACAAGCCTGTTTGTTTGCATATGAAGCAAAACTTTTTTGCTATGTACCTTGAGTAGATGATTATGCACAAAACTGGTATTTAAATTTCAGGGAAATCTTAAGACCATTCTATAATAGTTTTATTTCAAATTTATTTATCAGGGAAATTAAACTCTGAAAATGACCCCCAATCTTCCCCAAACTGCTCTCAAGGGTTTTGTTTCTAACTCAGCTCTGATTTAGTGGTCTGGCTCCATGTTCTTTGAGAATTTCTCTGAGTTTGTAAGGAAGAGGCCTTAGTAGGCACTGGCAGCTTATATATATCAAGACAAACTTTCAACACTTAATGCTGTACATCCAGATGCACTGTACATGTAAGGTTGCAGGGTGAAAGGCTGGATACTGACATCCTATTAAGAAAAAAATTCTCACTCTTACTTTTACCACTAGCTTACTAAGTGATCCTGGCAGGTATTTGGGTCAAGTTTGCCAATCTGTTCAGAGGACTGAAGGTAGTGATTGAGATGGTTCCCATGATCTCTTCTGGTTCACATTGAAATTGGGTTCTTCATCATTAGGCTCATCTTTATGGTAGAGTCAGTTTAGGCCAAAGACAAAATCCCCAATAGTGCTCTAACATGTACTCATTTTATTTAAAGCTCTCAATCAGCATGTGCAGAACTCTGATTAAAAATGGGGTTTGGCCATATACTGGAAATTTTAAGACCATTCCATCAGGTTGGAAGTCAACTTCCCACACTCTGGTTCTTTCTTTAAATGAAGTTTTTAAAATTCTAAGGTTCCCCTGTAGACCCTTTGGTTATCATGTGCTGTTTATATAGAAAGAATCCCACAACTTGCTTTTGAGACCTGCATCCTAAAACCAAAATAGCCTCGTAATACAGCCTCTAAGTCATCATTTATTGATTTATAGAGCACCCATCACAAGATCGGGGTGCTTTACAATACAGTAAACATCACAACAGAACTCACATAGTTAAATACAATCAACAAATTACAGAACTAAAAAAAAAAAAACTGGAATGAAGCAACATTATGTCAAATTTCAAATATGCTGCGAGTGGCAGTACAAAAAAGGTAATTCCACTAACTGGAGACCAGACGGCAAAGATACACAGGCACCACATCCCAAAATGGGCAGATTTGTAAAGGGTGAATGAGCATATTAAATAAAATTTCACAACCAGGAATGAAGGCCATTAAAGATACTATGACACCCAAGTGATCACAGAACTAGTGCAATAAACTCACAAAGATATTACCTTATTATGACAAAGAAACCAACCTTATATGGATTTTAAACTCACAAAGAGGCCAGAAAGCCACTGAGATCATTCATCCCATGATGAGCACAAGCTGAAATCTGTAAGCCTTTACAAGAACTTGGAATAAATTTAGCGAATAGCCAACAGTTCTATAATCCATAATACTATGGAGATGCTGTTGATAGTTGGCACAAAGTTAGGGAGAAAACCCCTTTTCCTAAAGCAGAGGGGACTCACCTCACACTAATGATGCGGCACTGGTGGGACAAATGCCACATCGATCAGTGTCACCTGAGTGTGGTTTAGTATCAAATGTAGAGGCATTTAAATTCACACAGTCAGACGGATACTGGGAAAGGCACAGATGACACCTCTGACTGGGGAAAAGTCAAAACACCTATCAAGGCCTGTTTCCTAATGTAGCACGGTCAGAGTGCCAGATGGAATGGCATGTCAACAGCGGTGCACTCATTCCAGCTTCCCCTTCTACTCCCCTACATCTACCCTAAAAAACACATGGTTATACCCAAGTAACTGCAGTAAAGTGGCACTTAAACGTTCAAGAATAGTTGTCCCTGAGTTACTAGGTCATTTGCTACTCCCCGAAGAGTCAAATACCAGGTTTTAACTCAACAGATTGCTAGCAAAATTACAGCAACAGGAGAGCAAAATTCAGACTCCATTTTGCAATAAGCAATCACCATGTGAACAATTTCTGATTCAAGAATGAAAGGGATGGCGTCCGAAGTCCCAGGTAGGTGTGCATTACTGGCACTTTGGGGAAACAATTTTTACAGTCTGAATAAAATGTCACAAAGTCCTTGAAGAAAATTGAGCTACAATTATCAAATCAAATCAATTTTCACATTCAGTCATTACACATTTATGGGTTTTTATAATGCTTCAAAAAGGAGAACAGTCTGGGTTTTAGAAAAATCACCCTCTACTGTGACTATATCCTCAACTATTTTATTTATGCTTTAAAAATGGCATGCAAGGTTCGTGGGGGACTGAGCTAATTGCACAAAACCTTTCACTGCTTTGCCAAGGCATTTCTCCAAACCTCAGAGCAGAGATGTGTCAATTCTCACTGATTCTCACAATTAAATACTGTGTTCTATTTGGTTCTGTCCCTTATATGCCGAAGACTACTACTACTTTCCAATCCCAACCTCACACCAAACACAGAGGAACCTGGGCCTGCCTTTAACACTGCACATGCTCATTTTACCATTTCCTTGTTTCAGATAACTTAAGAAAAATACTTATGCTCAAATATTAATAAATTCCAAGTGCACTGTCAGTGACAGAATAAGTATGTCAAATAGAAAAGCATTTACATTCCTCTAATGCTGAGATTCACATAACAATCTAGATAGGGCCTAATACATATTCTGCCATGGCCATGTGATTTTTCAAGTATAAGTTTGTTTGCATAAGGAATCAACCTGAGATTTTTCTAAACTGCACTTCTCTGGCATTCAGTATTATATAACCTTCATTCAATACAATAAAAGCCAACAACTTGACAATTATTGGAAAAAAAATTATATTTTGGAAGAACTCACTACATAAGGTGACAGAATTCCAAAATCAAATTACATGAAAATATACATCACAATTTCTTTGTACAATAAATGGAGAAAAATCTGCAGTATAGAAGAATAGAGGAAAAGAAATATACAGGCTAAGTAGAAGAGTATGAGGGTAAACAGCAGTTTAAATAGCAAACCCAGAAGTTAAGTAGAAAGCCTTATAGCTCTGCATGCTTTATTTGTCCAACCTTAACATTAAGTAACCGGAGGGAAAGAATAAAACCAAATCAGAATTTTGTATTGTTTGGAGTAAATTTCAGTAAGTGGAATGCAGAACCAACTCTTTTTAGTTCTCCAGGATGACTAAATTCAAGAGCTCTCAACACGCAAAAAATGTTATTGCTACATCCAATCCAAGAGGTGGGTGCAACTGGAGTACAAAAAGGACAAAGCACCTAGTGATGACCACTCCTCTGAAGTCATCATTAAAAATCAAGTAGCTGCTTATTAAGTATTTTGTATTTGAATTAAATGACTGGAAAACTTCCCAGCAGGTAGTAGAGAAGAAAGCAAAGGGGAGCGTATCAAAACAAAGAAGATACAAAGTTTAGTAAATGAAAAGAGTTTAATGAAGTCTCAATGGTTTAAAGGAAATTCAATGGAAACTTTTAATCCTAATTGCTTTTCATCTGACATGCTTTAAGGAGTCCTTTAAAACTGATAAACAATATGGAAAAAAAGTTCTAAAATCTTTCAGAATTTACACGATTCTTACTCTACTACAAGAAAGCATTATTTGGTACAAGGTGTATTTGTGGATGTACATGAATAGTATATATATTATCCGGATCATGTTGTGCTATGTACAGGTCTTTACAATTCTTCCTGAAGGTTAAAACAGTTCATTAGAATTCAAAATGTGAAATCATCTGTAAGTTGGCACTTGTTAGGCTTTTGTCAGCACTGATACTGGCATGTTTTATTGCAGCCCAGTTCCAGCCAGTGTTTGCCAACTTGTTACAACAGAAGTCCAGCAATAGGTGGGTAGAGTGCAGGAAAAACAGTGCCATGTTTCTCAATTGGAGACCTACAACAAAAACACAAAGCATTATATAATGAATTTATAAATTACAAATAAGTAATTGCTTAGAAATTTTTATTTGTAGTCTATCTCTCTGGAAACAAATTCTTCATTTCATTTTAAGCTCACGTTTGTGCTTGTCCAAAATGGTAACCAAATGTGGCCATTACATTTTAAAATTTAAATAATAGTAAATAAAATCTAAAATTTAGTTCCTCAGTCACACTAGCCATATTTCAGATGTGCAATATGGCTAATGACTACTTTATTGGATAGTGCAGGGTATTTACATCTGTAGAAAGTTCCCTTCCATGGCTTTAACTTGATTTTCAAACTATTTCACGTTATATTACATCTAAATTCAAAAACAATAATTACTTAAAAGTCCAAAGACTTGTAAATTTATAAACATTTAAGGCTGTTCAGAGAAAGAACCTAACATGGCCACACTTCTCGACTAGATAAATTTATCCAAAGTAAATTTATAAACATTTAAGGCTGTTCAGAGAAAGAACCTAACATGGCCACACTTCTCGACTAGATAAATTTATCCAAATCTGTAAATTCAGTCCAAAACCATTTTCTACATGAGGCATTCCACAACTGTCCTTCTATCCCAATTATACTTTCCTAATGTTTTGTATGTACTGGTCTCATGTTCTGAATTAGCTTAGAAGGAGAGAATCACTAAATAAAAATAACTACTATCTGACCAAGGGCCAAGCAGTGTACTAAGTGCTTTACAAAAACTTACCTAACAACTCCGAATAGCCAAAGCAATCCTGAGAAGGAAAAATAAAGCTGGAGGGATCACGTTCCTCGACTTCAAGCTCTACTACAAAGCCACAGTAATCAAGATAATTTGGTCCTGGCATAAAAACAAACCCACAGACCAATGGAACAGACTGGAGAGCCCAGATATAAACCCAAGCATATATGGTCAATTAATATATGATAAAGGAGCCATGGTTATACAGTGGCCTGAACAACAACTGGTGTTGGCAAAACTGGACAGCTACACATAAGAGAATAAAACTGGATAATTGTCTAACCCCATACACAAAAGTAAACTCAAAATGGATCAAAGACCTGAATGTAAGCCATGAAACCATAAAACTCTTAGAAAAAAACATAGGCAAAAATCTCTTGAATACAAACATGAGCAACTTTTTCCTGAACGCATCTCTTTGGGTAAGGGAAACAAAAGCAAAAATGAACAAATGGGACTACAATCAAGATAAAAAGCTTCTGTACAGCAAAGGACACCATTAGCAGAATAAAAAGGCATCCTGCAGTATGGAAGAATATATTTTTAAATGACATATCTGACAAGGGGTTAACGTCCAAAATATATGAAGAACTCACATGCCTCAACACCCAAAAAGCAGGTAACCCTACTAAAAAATGGGCGGAGGATCTGAGCAGACACTTCTCCAAGGAAGATATTCAGATGGCGAACAGGCACAAGAAAAGATGCTCCACATCACTAATTATCACAGAAATGCAAATTAAAACCATGAGATATCACCTCACACCAGTTAAGATGGCCAACATAGAAAAAACTAGGAACAACAAATGCTGGCAACGATGCAGAGAAAGGGAAACACTCCTTACACTGCTGGTGGAAATGTAAACTAGTTCAACCATTGTGGAAAGAGGTAGAGGTTCCTCAAAAAACTAAAAATAGGAATACTATTTGACCTGGGAATTCCACTCCTAGGAATTAACCCAAAGAAAACAAGTTCTAAGATTCAAAAAGACATATGCACCCCTATGTTTACTGCAGCACTATTTATAATAGACAAGAAACAGAAGCAACCTAAGTGTCCATCAGTAGATGAATGGATAAAGAAGAGGTGGTACATACAAAATGGAATACTATTCAGCCATAAGAAAGAAACAAATCCTACCATTTGCAACAACATGGATGGAGCTAGAGGGTATTATGCTCAGTGAAATAAATAAGCCAGGCGGAGAAAGACAAGTACCAAATGATTTCCCTCATTTGTGGAGTATAATGACAAAGCAAAACTGAAGGAACAAAACAGCAGCAGACTCACAGACTCCAAGAAAGGACTAGTCGTTACCAAAGGGGAGGGGTGTGGGCGGGTGGGTGGAGAGTGAGGGAGAAGGGGATTGAGGGATATTATGTATAGTGTCAGGGGGTCATGGGAAAGACAGTGTAGCACAGAGAAGAAAAGTAGTGACTCTGTGGCATCTTACTACAGTGACTGCAATGGGGTATGGGAGGGCTCGATAATATGGGTGAATGTAGGAATCACATTGTTTTTAATGTGAAACCTTCATAAGAGTGTCTATCGATACCTTAATAAGAAAAAAAGAAAACATTATCTAACCTAAAATAGGAGTTTTTCCCTATTTTACATAGAAAAGTGAGAGAAGGCCACACAGATTGTTAGGTGGCTGTTTCCTACTCAAAAAGTCAAGAAACCACCGGGTTAAAGTTCAAAGAAAAAATGTCTTATTTAGTGATTGGAGTTTCAGAGCCTGTATTATATTGATGTGTGCGTTGAGTATGTAAGGGGAACAGGGAAAGGAGGCAGGGAGGAAAACACCTATTACTATTATATCAGATATCAGATCAAGTGTTCCAGAAACTCAAGACACTCGTTATCAACTGCCAAGCCCAATGCTGGGCACAAAGAGCCAGAATAGAAGATGACAAAGAATTAAGAGAGAATTTTAAACACCTAACCAAGAAGCATTGTGGCAAATATTTAACTCACATCAGACATGTTAAAAATATAGGATGTTTTCTCAAGTGCCAATTAGTGTATCAATCTTACAATCACCCAAATTCAACCATACCAAAGCTATGCTGTGGGTAGAAAAGCAAGCTGTGGGCTTATCTGTGGCCCTACAAGTGCCTACTTTCCTGGTTTGCTCTGCCTCCCTAGGATAGCCCCGGAGAGGTACAATTAAGATAAATTTCTTTCCAAAGGGGTTGTACCAATCAATGGCCTGGAACAAAACACTGAATGCACCAAGTATAATTACTTCACCATCACCAGAATCAGGATCTATTTGCACACAAATACACAGATATATATAAACATATTAGAAGATCTAAAGACATATCTTAAACTTAAGAGATTGTTACAGAACAGGTATTTAATTTTTTAAATTATGATACTTGAATGTTTTTCCAAAAACTATACCACACCAAAATTAATCCCTGGCCAATTAATCTCTTAGGGCTGAAAAATAACTGGGTAGAGAACTTGGGCATTCAGTAATCATTACCCTATGATAGAAACAAGAAATTTTCAGGCCAAAAAAAGAATCATTTATAAACTACTGCAGTGTAAACATAGTTTTACTACAGAGAGAACTAAGTGCTAAAAGTCATTAAACAACTATGACCCAGCAATCCAGTCCTTAACCATGAGGACTCTGCTTTAAGTAGCATAAGCTTCTTGAGCAGAAACAGAAAAATCTGTTTGCCTCCTTTGAATAACAACATGTACTCTGAACAGAAAATAAGTGTCAATACACAAAAAGCAAGTTTGTCATTCTTTTCTCTACAAAGATATATAAAAATCTGAACTTACCTGTATAACACTCTAAATAAATGGCACTGAACAGAAACAGTCATTTATTTCTGTGAGCATATCGCATTTCTAACTCAAAATATATCTGCATGCTGTTAACATCACACACTTTCTATTATTATTTGGAATTATATCAACTGTATACCATTTTGAAATGATTTAAGTATCTGGGTTTTTTCGCCTCAAACCTTCCCTTAATTTTCCTGATTTTTAAACCTACAAATTTCAAAATGGTTCACCTGTGAAGGACATTAAGCATACTGCTCCATTTTTAAAATTTTCTTATCATTAATATAAAATCACATGAGCTGGGGAGGTGGAGCCAAGATGGCAGCATGAATTGGGCAGCAGAAATCTCCAAAAACCATATGTATTTTTAAAAATACAACAAATACAACTATTCCTAAAAAAGAGACCAGAAGATACAGTATAACAGCCAGGCTAAATCTACATCTGCGAGAACTCAGCTCCTCACAAAGGAGGTAAGATTCAAGCCGCGGCCCAGTGTGACCTGAATGCACCCCCCACCCCAGCTCCCCGGCGGGAGGAAAGGACTCAGAGTAAGGAGCGAGTGGAAGCCCAGGACTGCTAAACAACCAGCTCTAGTAACCTGCACTGGGAGCTCAGACACAGAATGCGTGGTTTGCTGGATATTAGGGAAATGGAACACTAAAATCTGTGAGTGGGTCCCTGCAGCTGGTGCCCCTAGGACAAAAGAAAAGCGAGTGCTTTTTGAAAGTCTTAAAGGGACAGGGACCCCACCGCTGGACGGAAGCGTCCCGGGACACTCACCTCAGCAGCTGGGAATTGTGGGGAATTCTGGGTGCCCTTACCCTCTGGGAGACAGGGCAGCTCTGAGGCCCCTCATGGCGATAAACAGCCTCCCGCCTGTTCCCCCTCCGGCACAGCCCGGCCATAGCAGGGAAGCAGCCTGAGAGCAGCCATGCCCAAAGCAACTGCCCAGAGCCTCCTCCGCAGCTGCTCGGGCCAGACTCAGAGGCCCCGTCGGCGTGCAGCTACCCAGCACAAGCCATTAGGGGTCGCAGTTCTCCCAGGAGAGGAAGGCCACCAGCAAGCAAGAAGGGACTTTGTTCTCCCAGCTGACATAAAGCACCAACTGCCCATGACTACCTCTATCACCATGAAAAGGCAGAATAATTTGATTCAGACCAGAATCACACAGACAACACCCAAGAAGGAGCATGGGGAGATAGATTTAACCAATATTTCTGAAAAAGAATTTAAAATAAAGGTCATAACCATGCTGATGGAGCTGCACAGAAATATGCAAGAGCTAACAGATAAAGTTCAGAGGGAGAATACAGAAATAAAACAATCTCTGGAAGGACTTAAGGGCAGACTGGATGAGGTGCAAGAGGCTGGTAATGGAACAGAAATCAGAGAACAAGAACACAGAGAAGCTGAGGCAGAGAG